CAACTCCATGAACCCCAACAGAATGAATCCACCAGGCAAGGCAAGTAATTAAATGGGAGGGGGGAAGAAGGAACCAACTACAGGAAAATAACAGGACAAGGATAAGTTAATACATAGCAATTATAACCATCAATGTAAATGATTTCAATTCACCATTCAAAAGACAGAATGCATCAAAAAGCAAGATCCAACAATATGCTGTACTACAAGAATTACACAGTAGGAGAAAGCAGAGAAGAGAAAGGAAAAAATATGAGAAATGGAAAAATGGAAACAAAGTCTGTAAATAGGGAGAGGTAGAGGGGTCAAAAGGAGGGCAGAGGAATGGAGAGAAATAAGAACCAAGATATATCATGTAAAGGTACAAATTCCCAATGATGAATGTCATATTGTGTGCCTAAAGTATACCGATAAACTTAACGAGAAACAAAAAAACAAAGGTGGTGATGGTAGGAGGGGGAAACACATTTAACTCATTAAGAACTGACGGAATGAAAGTCAAAAAATGGAAAACAATACTCCATGTGACAGGAACCCAGAAAGAAACAGGGATAGCTATTCTATTTGCAGGCAAAGTAGACTTCAATATTGATTAAGAGAGACAAAGAAGGTCACTATGTCCTTGTAAAAGGAACAACCCAAGAGGAAGAGGTAACAGTCATAAGTATATGTGCAGCAAACATCAGCCCTAAATATATAAAACTAATATTAACAGACATGAAAAAATCAAATAAGCACTAACACAATTGTAATGAAGGACAGTATTCCACTGTCACGGATAGATCAAGTAGACAAAAAAATCAACAAAGAAATAATCAGAATAGTGCCCTCTTTTATTTTTGAGGTTCCACTTTCTGAAGTCCCTTACAGTAGGCCTTGGGACTCCAACGATTATTCTTTTAGTTTTTCACTTATGTCCTGTTCCCATAGTATCGATATTCTGGCAGATTTTTATTAAATTTTTCTAGTCCAAGAAGAAAATAAATTTTAAAAAATTAGCAATATTTTAATTTCTTTTTCAAAACATTTTAGTATATTATTCTGAGAATGTTTTTCTTCTGCTATGTTACCTCTCCCTCCCTGAGGGCTAATTTTTCTGTTAGTTCAGTTTTTTTGTTTTGTTTTTCTTTTTTGGTATAGGCATCGAACTCAGGACCTTGCACTTTTGAGGAAGATGCGGTGCCACTGAGCTAAAATCCCTGACCTGTTAGTTCAGTTTTGGTCACTGTTTCCCGTTGCTGGTTTTTCTCATGTGCTGAAGATTCCCGGTGGTGCAGGAGAATAGGGAAGCCACCATTTAAAGCACAAGGAAAACTCTGCGGAGGTGGGCAGGAGAAAATTAAAGGGTTACTAACAAGAGGTGCCCATAGAGGGCAAGTGGGTGGGCTTAGGGTGACCAGGTGCGAACCAGGCAGTAAGGCTGCAGAACCTCCACTTCTGGTAGAAATCACTTGCTTTAGTGTATCCACGACTCAGCTTCTCTCAAACATTCTACTTTTTTCCAGAAAAACTACCTGTGGTTTCACCTTGGGGAGATGCCAGGCGCCTTGGTGAGGTGTGCAGTGAAGCGGGCAGAGTGGCGACCTCAGGAGCAGCTTCCTGTTTACATTCATCCCCTTCAGGTCTCCTGGGTTCCTCCCCAATTCCCTCTCCTCATCGCAGCCTCTGAGCCACTTCCAGAGCTCTGTGGGTTGGTCCCGTTTTGGGGGAATGGTGGTTATTTTACACTTGTTTCTTTAGAGGCCACAGTGCAGCTGAGCAATGAGTTTGGTAGACACGAGCTTTGCACCTTGTAAACTATGCAGCCATCACTAGACCTAACCACTTGCTGTGACTTAAAGAATACCACTTCCGCCGGGGATTTAGCTCAGTGGTCCCGCCGCTTGTCTTGCAAGCACAAGAACCTGAGTTGATCCCCGTACCAAAAACTAAAAATAAAAAAAAGAACACCACTTCCTTCCCATCTCCGTACCCTCAAAGGCCCCTTTCAAGTCCAAACATATATTCTATTCTGATCCCCTTGACCACTAACATCCGTCAATCTTTACACAATTGTTAATTAATTTTCCCTAGAAGGCTGTTTTCTCACAATGCCAAGGACGCTGGTCCTTGTAAAGCAAGAACACTGTGTCCATCTCCAAACACCCAGCTGTCCTTAGAACCGGGATGGATGGAACCAGGGCCACCTTGGGCTGATGAAAGCATTCCCAGGATTTTTCAGTTCCCTCCTCATGTTAAAATCAAACCCAAGCCAGGGATTTAGCTTGGTGGTGCCACTGCCTGCCTTGCAAGCACAAGGTCCTGTGTTCAATCCCTGGTACCAAGAAAACCCAAACAAACCTGAGTCTCAGTCTTGTACAGAGTGGGCACAGTCCTCCTGGCCGTGAGGCTTCTCTCCTGCAGTGTGTCCACTGCCCCAGCACCTTTCTCCACCACCGGAAAGGGCTCAATTCTTCTAACCACCCTCCTGCACACTGTGCCTGGCACCTTGCTTCCCAGTTGAAAGTGTATTCTAGGCTGTGGCTTTCTGGCTTACTTCTGTCAATTCTCTTCTTTCCACTTTCCAACTTCCAGGAATTTCTGGAAACTTCTTGTTCACTGGTGACCCAGCCACCTGGTTCTCTTTGGTGTTTTGGTACTTTTATATTTTTATCTTAACAGACTCTCTGAGAGACAGAAATAAAATGCTAATATGTAGTTCGCCACCTTAAACTTAGTACTTTTAAGGAAAACACTGTGGTATGATACAAAAAAATAAAGATAGGCATAAAGGAAACGAGGAACATCATTTTAAAACTGAACTTATAGGGGCTAAGGATTTCGTTCAGTGGTTCCATCTGCCTTGCAAGTGCAAGGTCCCAAGTTCAAACCCCAGTACCAAAACTAACTAAATAAATAAAATAAAATTGAACTTTTAGCAAAAATTGCAGGCTCGGCATACACACCCCAAAATTCCTAAAGTTCTGAGACATTCCCTTTTACCTGTAAAGGGATCGCCATACCTATGCATAGACCATCCCTTTCCCACTCAAACATGCCCCCCCACACACATGGGCTACAAGTCTGTCCCCTGGGGTGGCTGTCACTATGATGGGCCACCACCCTTCCCCTGCAGCACAAGTCAGCTCTTCCCACAGCCTCACAAGTTCAACAGCTTTGCACCGAGACCTGGCTCCAGGCCATCAGCCACCTTTTCTCTTTCTCCAGAGCCCACACTATTTCTCTGCACGTGCACCCTGAAAAGTCTGTTCCACAAATCTTCCTGTTCCTCTTATTGATGCATCCTGAAAATTCTTTCTGTGATGGAAATCAGTGAGCTGGCAACCTGTCCTGGGGTTCCCCATTTCCGCTTGGGGCTCCCGTCTGGTGACACTTGGGATACTCAAAGGAATTCCAACGACTATGGGTTCTGACTTGTAAGTATAGCACCTTCCATATTCTACTACTGCATTTTTCTGGGAGACAGTTACGCTGGTTTCCTTAGTGTTCTAAGAGGATTAAGAACTATCAGACTAAGTGAAATACATTCTCTTAAACAGTATGCAAAGTAGGAAATCCCCATTCCGTATGCTCAGTTTCAGATTTAAATTACAGATATTTAAATCATTAAAATTTAACATGAAAATAATTTTAAGTTGTTTAAAAATTCCATGGTTACTGGTAAAATAAATGACTATAAAATATATGAGAAAGTAGTGGGTTTCTTTTAGAAACACATCCACATGAATTATGCAGAAGCTTAAAGACAAAAGGAAAACCTCACTTAGGGCACTAGGGAGGTTTGCAGGTATGGTGGTACATGCCTATGATCCCAGCACTCGGGAGGCTGAGGCAGGAGGATTGTCAAGAGTTCAAGGCAGCCTGGTCTCTGTAGTGAGTTCAAGGACAGCCTGAACTACATATGGAGACCTTGCCTCAAAAACAAATAAATAAACAGCCAGGGATTTAGCTAGGTGGTTCCACTGCCTACCTCACAAGGGCAAAGACCCAAGATTGATCCCTGATACCAAAAAATAAATAAAAAGTTTAAATTGCTGAAGGGTGGGGGCCAGACAACTTTCCAACCTGATAACTGAGATGTTTTTTGAGTATCGCTATTGAGGTATGATGACAAGTTTTACACTACACAGTAACTAAGTAAGAAGACCTAGATGCTGAATTAAAAATAGCAAAGAAAGGGGAACTGGAACCACAGATTTGAGACCGCTGTAAAATAAAACACTATATGTTAACTTTGAGACAGGCTTTGCTCAGTGTTAAGCAGATGTTAACTCCTGGGTCCCACACAAGTGATACCTGCTCATCCGACACTCATGCAATAGTTCAGGTAATTGTTTCGGACAGATTTCCAAAATAAGTACAAAATCAAAAGCACAGGGACAGGTAGAAGCAGAGCTATGTAGATAACAATGTATAATTTGAACTCTTACTAGACACTTTTATCTGTTCAAAATCGGCAAATAAAAACGAACACATGCGGGCCAGGGATTTGGCTCAGTGGTTGTGCCGCCTGCCTTGCAGGTGCGAGGGGCTGAGTTCAATCTCCGGTATCCCCCCCAAAACAAAACAAAACAAAAAATACGGATGCATGTGCCAATAATGTGGATACAATGAAGGCCAGACACAATATGAGAGAGGTTAAAATCTCGATTTAAAAATCTAAGTTTCAGAGCTCTGGTTGAAATTCCTAAAGTCAAAGGAAGAAAATAATTCTCATTAATGAGTTAAACCCAGGTGGTTTAGCTTGGTTCAATAATCTAAAGGCAAACTTTGTATCTGATGATCCCTTCAGGACACAAGGAGTAACATTTAAAGGTTAATGATCACCACGTAATTAACTTTATATGTGTAAACTGCTTAACCCTGCTAAAGCTTGAAGATACTTTTTTTGAAGAAATCTCATTTACCTATTTTCATTCACTTCATTCAAACAAGATACCACTGTGAAGATTTCAGTCAGGGTTAGAGCTTATAAACCTGAAGAAACTCCAGTTACCAACCTAAACGATGGAATCCAAAGGTGAATCTTCTTGTTGGAGACTTGGAGGACAGCCACAGAGCGAGCAGTGTGAGGACGATGGCGCTGAGGTCCGTCAGCATGTGCAGTGCGTCTGTCATCACGGCGAGGCTGTTGGCAATGTAGCCGCCTTACAGCAGGGGAAAGGGACAAAGTGTCAGTTCACTCAAAAGAAGTGTTAAGCACCACACTGGAAATACCACGCCCTTCCCCAGGGACCCTGATCTAAGTCTTTATCCTGGTACAGTTACATCAGTGTTCTGAAAATATGCAAAGCAGGTGTGTGCAGTCGCCCTTTGGTGCCTATGTGGCACTGGCTGCAGGGTCTCCCTGGATATCACGGCCTCTGCACGCTCGAGTCTCTTCTGTAAATGGGCACAGTGCACAGTGCAGTGACCCACACCTCTCCTCCCATATACTTTTTTTTGGTACCAAGGATGAACTCGGTCTTTGTGCTTGCGAGGCAGGCACCGAGCGCAAACCCCTGGCCCTCCTCCCATATGCTTTGAATCCTCTCCAGATTACTTGTAACACTCTGGACAGTGTAAACGCTTTATAAATAATCATACTGTATTGCTTAGGAAATAACAAGAGGTCTGTACTATTCAGTACCGATGCAGTTTTTATGCTAGATACTTCCAATTCAGCAGTGGTTGAATCCAGACGGGAGGCCACATAGATGGAGGGCCCACTGCACAAATTTCTGGTGAGAATGTTCATTTTCCACTAACAGATTCTCCCAAAGTTAAGCTCCACCCTGGGTGCAGTGGGGCACACCTATAATCACAGCTACTCAGAAGGCTGAGGCAGGCGAACTGTCTGTAGTTCCAGGCCAGCCTGGGCAAGACAATGCCTAAAATAAAACAATTTAAGAACTGTAAACTGAAAAGAGGTGTTTCTGCAGTACAGCTTTTGCTCAACCCAATTCTATTTCTACTGTTCTATTCCTATTAGCGAATTAATAACCACAGTATCTAAATTCCACAACACAGCTGAAGAACGGCTATGTGTTCAATTGTTCAGGAGGGTTGGAGCAATAAATTAAACTGAAGAAATCCACAAAAGGGGCCTGCTGCATTAGTTCAGCACAAAAGATAAACACTGATTTGCTTGGAAGGGGATTGCAATTTTGTTCCTCCAAATAGGAGTAAAAAGGAGTAAAAGGTCTTTTTAGGAATCACATTCTGATTGATGGCCACGTATAGGAAAACACTATCAACAGGCAGTGATTGCATGTTCCCACCAGAACGCTGGCTAAAATTAATCTCCACTGTGAGGCATTAAGAGGCCGAACTTTGGAGTTAAAACCAAGTGAGGTCAAGCCGGGAGTTTAGCTCAGTGGTGCTGTGCCTGCCTCGCAAGTGCAAGGTCCTGAGTTTGATCCCCAGTACTAACAAAAAAAAAAAAAAAAAAAAAAAAAAAAAAGACAAAATGAGGCCATAGAAGGTGGGGCCCCAATTCAATGGGACCATGGCTTTACAGAAGAAAGAGGAGAAACGGCATGGTGGCACATGCCTGTGAGCTCATCAATGGGAGGGTTAGGCAGGATTGTTCCAAGTTCAGGCCCAGCCTAGACTACAGACTGAGTGAAAGGCCAGCCAGAACTACACAGAGCTACATTGAGAACTACATGTCTCAAAACAGAAAAGAAGAGGAGACCTAAGGATTCCTGGAACGGCCTGGGACTCTACAAAGAAAGACCTCTTCTGTGGGCATAATGGGCACACCTGTAACCCTAGTACTTGAGAAGCTGAGGCAGGCAAATTGCCCTGAATTTCAGGACAGCCTGGGTTACGTAGTGAGTTCCAGGCCAGCCTGAACTGCATAGTCAACCCCTGTCTCAAAAAACAAACAAACAGAAAGCAGACCAGAACAGGGATATATATGCACAGGGGTCTGGGGTCACCCACAGCCCCAGACATCCACATCATCTCTGAGGGTGAGAATTCTATGATCTAACGACTGGCCCCTTACCAGGTCTGGCTAGCTGTCCTTGCTCTACCTTCCTCTGGGTTCCTCCAGGGCCCACTCGGGTTCCCTGGATGGTGATGCCTGAGCTGGGCAAGACCTGGAGGTCTGAAGTCAGAGCCACTGAGTGTTTCCATGCGTCCTTCACACAGCTCTGTGTGAGGCCGACTGCTTTCAGCCACTGCAAATGGGTGGCCTTGGGCTACTGAGTCAGGGACCTCTCCTCCCTGTGCCCTGGAGGCTGGCCTGAACCCGCCACGTAGCCCTTCTCTTGACTAAATTCCCCCCCGCCCCGTGTGGGTTTATACTTCATTTTCCTCTTCCAAATCCTTTCATTGCAGTTTAAGGGAGGCTATGGGATAAAGCAAAATTAGACGCATGAGTCCAATTTGCCTATTTTCTGAGAAGACTGTATTTGGCTTCAAGTGTTTTCACTCCCAGGGTAAATGCAGTTACAAAAACAACCAGTAACTTTGCCACAGACCCTAAGGCTGTTCTCAGGTCTCACCCCATTAGATCACTTCAGTTTCCCCACCCCGATGCCCCGTCCACCCGTTGTCCAGGGTGCATGTGGGAGCCCCGGCAGCTGCCCGAAACCCTGCACACCCAGTGTTGCTTCTCACACATCCGCACCTCAGGCAGTCACCTTACACATCAGGTACCGGAAGAGGAACAGTGACAGACCAGGGCAATCCCAGCCACCCAGGGCAGTGCTGTGTGCATCGGTGGAGGGAGGAATGACTCCTGCCTGGGCGGGCCAGAGGCGGCCAGGTGAGACTGGATCACACACTCAGGAGCGTGCCACGGAAGGTTTATGAAAGTTTATGAATCACCCCGGGATTTAGCTCAGTGCTGCCTTGCCAGCAGGCGCAAAACCTTGAGTTTGACCCCCCGTACCTCCTCCCCGCAAAAAGAAAAGTGTATGAATTAGTTCTGAACTTTCCATTCAATACTCTTGCACTGAGGTTAAGTGAAACCACAAAAAGCAAAACCACAGGAAGTAAAGGCGAGGGTAACTCCTGTGCCGGACACCTACTGCCCAGGGTGACCGTGCCCTCCTGTGGCCTCACACCGCTGCCTTCCCTCTGGCTCCTCTCTGGAGCCTCACTCATGCACAGCTCTCTCATGGGCACCCTCACGGATGGGGCCCGAACAGACCAGCACAAGGCCAGACGCTGCTGCCTTCCCTTCCCTTCCCATTGCACAAACACCCCTCAGTCCCAGGCCAAACACGCAGCCAGCTGGGTTCTCAGCCCCCCACACTGATTCCCCCCCATATGCTGTCCTACTCTAAGCCATTCAGCTTCTAGTCTGGATCGTTCTACTTCACTCTTGCACCCTTGAATCCATTCTCCACATGACAGGGTAATCTTTTTTTGCGGGGGGAGGTCTTGCTATGTAGTCCAGGATGGCCTCCAACTCAGAGATCCTCATGTCTCAGCCTCCCGAGGTCTGGGTGTTGGTTTTACAGGTGTTCACCCCACACCCAGCTTCAGGCTTAAAAGCCACAGTAATCTTCTAAAAAGAGTAAATTCCATCATGGTCTTGTCCTGCTTAAAACCCTTCACTGGCTTCCCCTGGCATTCTCTGTATTAGTGTTTAAAAAAAGGGTCTTGAGCCAGGCATGGTGGTGCATACCTGTAATCCCAGCACTCGGGAGGCTGAGACAGGATGATAGCTGAGTTCGAGACCAGCCTGGGCTACATAGTGAGTTCCAGGTCAGTCTCAACTACAGAGTGAGACCCTGTCTAAAAAACAAAAACAAAAACAAAACACCCCCAAACAAACAAATAAATAAAGGGTCTTGCTCCAGCCTGGGCTACATAGTGAGTTCCAGGTCAGTCTCAACTACATAGTGAACCCTGTCTCAAAACAAACAAACAAACCAAAAAAGGTCTTGTTTTGTAGCCCAGGCTGGCCTCCAACTCAGCAATCCTCCTGCCTCAGCCTCCCAAGTGCCAGGATCACAAGTTTGGCCACCACACCCAACACCAGACTCCCCCTGCATTCAGACTGAAAACTGAAAACATTCACAAAATATGGCCTATCCCGACCCTTGTATCTGCTTGCTACATTCCAACCATACTGGCCTTTTTTCTAGTTAATTTTAATGAATGGAAGGCTTTAAGGACCTTTGTACATGCTGTTCTCTTTGCTTGAATAACTCATAGCTCCTTTATGGTTTAAATGTACCTGGGTCATGTATGGACAATGTCCAACTTGTTCCTCTATTACAGTACAGTACCTTATTCTTTTTCTTTATAGCACTTAAGATAATCTGACCTTTAAATTTAATCACGTATTTATTCATTGTCTCCTCTTCCATTTAATGATTCAGATAGCAGGAACCATGAACAGCTGGGCTCTCCACTATCTACTTGCCTCATGTAGCACAGGGCCTGGCCTATCTTAGGAATTAAAAACTACTTGCTGAGCCGGGCATGGTGGGGCAGCCTGAGATCCTAGCACTGGATGCTGAGGCAGGAGGATCTCTGTGAGCCTGAGGCCAGCCTGGGGTAAATAGTGAGTTCAAGGACAGCCTGAACTACATAGTGAGTCCCTGCCTCAAACAAAGAAAAAAAGCTCCTTATGTGAGTAATTCTAACTCATCTCAGAATAATCTTTTTTTTTTTGAGACAGGCAGGGTCTTGCTGTATAGTTGAGGCTGGCTTCGAACTTGCGGCAATGCTCCAGTCTCAGCCTCTGAGTGCTGAGACAAGCGTGCACCACCATGCCGGGAGATACGAATCACCTATTCTAAACGTTGCAAAATGAACGGGTCGTTTTATCAGAATTGTTTAAGGAGAGGAAGTTACATGACATAATGCATATAATGTGACCGCTGAGGGCTGGCTGTCCGCAGAGCTGGAAGATAAAGCAGTCATATCCAGGAGACGTTTACGATGCAGCACTCAGGCTGGCCTGCACTTTGGAACCCCGGTGGCCCGTCCTCCTCCAGCGACCAGTATATCTCGCTATGCTACAAACTCCCGGCAAAGTTTGACCTCACGGCGCGCAAGCCAGGGACGCGCGCCAGTAGGCGACAAGGCTCACCTACGAGTTCGCCCACCATG